TGGACACTTTTAAGGTCATTAGAATTACTACAAGACTCTAAATTAAAAGATCTTCACAAACATATAATTTGTGTCATGAGAAATTTCTTCCGAAACCCGCTGAAAAAAGCCATAAATAAAAGGGCTGCTTAATCACTGGAAAAAACATAAAAGTTGTTTATCACGGTTATCAATATTTTTGTCCTTAAATTAAATTCTTTTGTGCAGGGGTTTTTAACGACAAGAAAAAAATACTCTGTCTCTCTAGCTGCTGATTTTTAATTCCGAAATCAATTAATGTGTAGCGCATACAAAATACTGTAGCTTTCAGTTATTGTCATTAAATAAACAGTTTATAAACGAGGTTTTTGAAACTGTTCACGCTATTTGAAAATATGGAAGCAATCGTTAATTTATTAGATATGATAATATGTTAGAAAATATTTTCCTTTTTTGTCTCGTTTATTTTTATAAAAAAATATAGAAATGATAACTGGCGAAATCTTAAACGAGTCAGCCAATCAGATCGCTAGGGAGGGGCCAGATATATTTCTAGATTATTATCCTTGGTAATCCTTACACAAGCAGTATTTCCGTAAATCAGGCCTTTTATCCACAATGCATCTGGGCTGCTCACCATACAGGTTTATCCTGCTTATATCACCCGTGATCCGGTATTTACCATCTTGGAAATTCACCGAAGCTTCGTATAACCCGTTTCCGGGGACAGTCTGAAGCTGTACTTGGTATAAGCATTCATCAACTGTGCCAGAACCCGTGGAAAACATTGGCTTTCTTCCGTGTATGTCAGACGACCCGATGAATTGTGCAACTTTTAAGTTTGGAAGTTTTTGATAGGCTGCCGAGATTTCGTGTAGCTGTAAACGAGAGCAAAGGTTTAAGCCCAGTGGGTCTGACGCAGTTAAGTTGTTCACGTGATCAACAACCGCCTGAGCTGCACGCTGCACGTGACTTGAGCGTGTGTTAATTTCTTTCCATTGTACGCATGGGCAGTAATGCTCGGCCACCCCAGCTCTCTCGCAGTGACGTGATTTATTAATATAGCTTAACAGACTCTCTCCTCTTAATAAGTCAACGGGAGGCTGGGGATAAGTGAGCATGTGTTTGAAAGTGGCATGTAAATCAAAAGGGGAGGTTACAATGTTGCTGTTTTCTTTGATAGTCTCCATGAGATCGTAATGTTGCTGTTGAAACCATTTTGGAAATGTCAGAGACATAAACGGAAGCCTTTCTTCGAATCTGCCTTGAAACGTAGCCCTTGTCTGGCCGTAGCGAAAGCCATGATCCGACATAACAATAAGTAACGTGTCGTTTAAAACGTTCCCATCAGATAAACCTCTTAACAATGCGAGAAAGTCACTACTGCACGCATAAATAGATTGCAAGTTGTTGTGCGAGATGTCTGTGAGGAAAAACAAGCCGAACTTGGGCTGCTGTCTGTAAGCCTCAAAGAACGACTTGATGTAATCAAAGTGAATTTGGTGCTGAGGTTGGCTGCGAACACAATGAGCTGACGTCACACCAGCTGCTTGCCAGAAATAGCGCGAGAAATGATCCGTAGGAGGCTCTGTGAAACCGTGCAGTCGGTAGTTAAATGCCCCAAACGCCGGGCAGTCCTCGCTGAATAGTGTTGAGTAACCGTGTTCCTTGAAGTCCTTGAAAATATGCGGCCAGCGGTCGAGAGGTGCTGCACCAGGAAATTGCCGACGGGCTTCGGGAAGCTCCGATTCAAATTTACCTACAGAGGAAGAGATGAAAAACCATTGGCGTAGTGTTACAAGTTGTGAAAAGAATTTTAAACCAGTCAACTGCTTAAATTATAACCTGTAAAAGATGGAGTCCGTCCCAATACTTAAGATCAATGTAAGGTTGCTAATTGGCAGGTGCTATTCTCCGATTACCCAAAATCCCCCACCCTCCAGTCTTTCGCCTGGTTTCCCCAACAATTCGTCACTACCCATTTATTCACCAGGGGCCCGTTTCTCGAAGGTCCCGAAAATTTTTCGCACCCGGAAAGTTCAAACTTTATGATTACAAAGCTGTTTTATTCGTATATTCCTAATATGAACAGGGGTTCCCTTCATACAAGAAGTCTCAAGCGTATACACCTCTCTGTTTTTAGATACAAATTAACTGAAAATGGCTTTGCGGGCCCGAAAATTTTCCGGGGCTTTGGAGTAAATGGGCCCCAGGGGCCCATTTATCGAAGGTTCTGTAAAAGTTTTCGCACCTGGAAAGCTGTAGCAAAATCTCAAACCTTATGTTTACAGATCTGTTTTATTCACATATTAATATGAACAAAGTTTCTCTTCATACAAGGAGTTCCAGGCGTGTACACCTCTCCGTTTTTAGATACAGATGAGCTAAAAATGGCTTTGCGGGCCCGAAAAGTTTCCGGGGCTTTCGAGAAACGGGTCCCTGGCAAGGCCGGGTTGATCGAAAGCCGGTTAACGCTAACCCAGGATTAAAAGTAAACCAAAGTATCAATTTTTTTGTATAAAAGTGCAGTGTAAGATTATTCAAACTCAAAACTGAAGGACAAACAATATAAACAGAAAACCTCACCGAAAAGTTACAAAATTGAAATCAAACTTCTCGCTAATCCTGGGTAAGCTTAATCGGGCTTTGAACAACCCGGCCCAGAGGGGGAGAGAGGCACTNTGTAGCAAAATCTCAAACCTTATGTTTACAGATCTGTTTTATTCACATATTAATATGAACAAAGTTTCTCTTCATACAAGGAGTTCCAGGCGTGTACACCTCTCCGTTTTTAGATACAGACGAGCCAAAAATGGCTTTGCGGGCCCGAAAAGTTTCCGGGGCTTTCGAGAAACGGGTCCCTGGCAGGGCCGGGTTGATCGAAAGCCGGTTAACGCTAACCCAGGATTAAAAGTAAACCAAAGTATCAATTTTTCTTGTATAGAAGTGTTTTTCATAGCTTATTTATTGTGCAGTTTAAGATTATTCAAATTCAAAACTGAAGGACAAACAATATAAACAGAAAACCTCACCGAAAAGTTACAAAATTGAAATCAGACTTCTCGCTAATCCTGGGTAAGCTTAATCGGGCTTTGAACAACCCGTCCCAGAGGGGGAGAGAGGCACTGTGAGAGCAAAGTGTCTTGCCCTAAAACTTTACAAAAGTCAACGGCTTTGGTCAACATCGCAAATCTTGATTAATAGAGTAAATCTCTAAACCCGTTCCCCGCACGCCAAGCTTTGCGCCACCCACGGCTCCCAGCAAACCATAACATGGATTATTTTCATTATCAAACTTATATTATTATTTTTTCATTCAATAACAAGTAAGAGTGAGAAGATATCAGTAACATTACATAAGTGAAAAGTATTAATCTTTAGTGCGTGTCTTTTAGGGTAGTGATCTTTGCGCTGGATTGCAAAGCTTTGTTTTGTTCCTAACCCCTTCCCCCCTCAATAGAAAATGTATCATGTGTGAGGAAAGCGTCTCGGGCCGGCTCTGATTACTGACCTGTCATCAATGCCGTTAGAGCAGGCGTAGTGCCATCTCCAACTATGGAATAACCTTTAAGAAACACCGAGTTTAACTCGTCTGTCATAAACTTATATACTTCTGGTAGAGCTCTTTGGAAATGAACTGCTGAGAGGGAGTCAAACCCTATGATGACAACACTCAATGGGAGTCCTGCTTTGCTATTGGCCTGCTCCGGGGCTCTGGGAATGATTTGGGCGTGGTATTCCACGTGTTTGGCGCCCTCTGAAGTGGCCAGTTGCACGCGGATGAATTCTGACTGAAGTTCGAATTTGCGCTCTTGTGCTTGCAGGCTGATCTCCTTTCCCAGCTCAAATCCCCAGTCTCTCTGTTTAGGGCGGTATATAGGCTGATACATCATGGATACAATATTTCCAGCTACAAAAATAGAGGGAAAAACCACAGGCAAAATAAATTAATGAATGAGTAACCAAATAGCGAACGTCGGGTTGAATGAAAATAACAATGGAAATGAACATACACCTTTTCCCGGGCGCCTTTATAATACAGACTCCTCAATAATAGGGACACTCGTGTCTGTCGTGTTAGTGTCCATATTTCACGTTCAACTGTCCTAACATCCATCTACATCTTTGCTTTGATGTCTGTGTGTCCCTTCAATCTTTGCATAAGTAATGACTGAAGGAACAAACGAATCAAGGAACGAATGATTGGTCCAGCGACCGACCAACCGTCTGATCGACCCACCGACCCACCCACCCGCCCACCGACCGATCAACCGACAAACCGGACCGGGCCGGCCGGACTGACTGACTGACTGACTGTCGACGACTCTACTGATAATGAACGATAACCACGACTTTTATCCATGATTCCCAGGAGAGATAACTATATCCCACCTTTATTTGCCTCTTCAGTTAGCTCCAAGATTCCTCCCCGGTAACGCGTTAGCTGGACACCTGGGCACTGAAGTGGTGTTGGTTGCCCTATAAGCTTTTTTACGTCCTCGTCGTTCGGATCCATTTCAGGAAGGCGGCATTCGCCAGCGGAGGACTGGAACTGGTTCAATGCTACTGCGCAGGTCTCATGTTGCCCTCGATAAAAGGCTTTCTTTATAAACAGCGAGTGAGCAGGTGAAGATATCATTTTACCCGTCAATTCTTGTTTAAGGCACATTCTTCCTGTCTGTAATGTATAAACAAATCCTTTACAGCGTGAACCAAAGGAATTACAGATAATTTTCGCCTGCTCTGTGCTCGAAGGTGGAAAATCACGACAAGTTTCTTCTCCACTACACTGGATGTCCCCACCGAAAAGATCCATTTGTTTCTCCTGGATAAAAAAAAAAGATGTTAAGCATATATAATAAAGTGAAACAAGATGTTAAAAACATGGGAAATGATGCTAACGAAAGAGTAAGAAGAAAAGACAGAGAAGAAGCGAACGGAGAAGACAACTAAAATTCAAACGAAAAACTTCTGATGGACTTTGTTTCTCTGCGCAAGCGCAGGACGCTCCGGCTGCTCACCAGTCCTGTTCCCTAAGTCCGCGTTACCCTTGTCCAGCGGAACGGGAAACGCTAAATAAGACAATAGTAATTTGTAACCTTTTCTTACATGAAAATTCATTTTAAACTTTTTCATATCCAGTCCTATTTAGACAACTTGAAATCTCAGCGATTCATCGTTACATTACCTCAATGTATAAAATCTCTTCTTCGCTGCTCTGTGATGATTTTACTTCTTGCGTCGTCTTTCTCGATTCGTCCTATCACAAAATCAAATTCAACAGAGTGGTTCAGTTGAAGCACGTTAAAAAAGCTACGGTCTGGGGAACCTGAAAAGTTTAGCCTACATTTTTCAAGTTCGTCGCTTGAAATCCGTGTTAGTCTTCTCAATCCTCAATTAACCATCCTTGTTCCTTTATGTATTATCTATTATCACTGTGGTGTTTTTCTATCTTCTTAAGCCACTCTTTTCAGGTTTTCTTCAATTTAAAGGTAATTTTGTACGTCGCCAAAAAAAACCCTCAAAATATCGTGACTGAGCTCCTCTAAGTTCATGCAGGATAAGAAAGGGAAAATAATATGTTTTTTGAACGCTTGTAACTTTAAAAAAATCGAAGTGATAAAAAATCCAAATTTGGAGACCTGGGAAACGATTTTTGGAAACAATTTAGCATGACATGGCATTACTCACTGAACCTGAAGTTACCATGACAGCCGTACCTTCAAATTTGCCTTTTCTCATTTTGCAATAAATTTTACCCTTTTTACATCAGTTCTGCTTTCTTCGTCGGCTTTAACTGAGTCAGTTTTGTAAAGATTCGAGATCCAAGATGGCGGAACAAAGATGGCGGCTGTTGGAAAATAATGAGGACACTTTTTCGTCATATGACTCACTTCGTATTTGTGAGTTTCACTGTCTTGTGACATGAACAGATCTATAAAGGCCATGCGGAATAATCACTTGCCTTATTAATTTCGCTGGCTCCATGGGGCTTAANTTTTTTTTTTCAGCCTAGAACCGTGCACAGGGAGACCAACTCTGAAAAGCCACAGGTCAAAATTAGGTTTGCGTTCCACTTCGTCGAACGCAATTATTTTTAAAAGTAATACAATACTTACCTTATTGTGAAATCGTGGATACTCGACAGGGAAAGATACCGAAGTGAAGATGTATAACATGACAGCCACCAAACAGATTAAATTAAAGACGGAATGACGGCACAAAAGCCGCATAAAACAGCGCTTTAAAATCATCATTCTGAGGAAAAAATATAATATACATATTTAGCGTAGCTCCCATAAAACACTTATCAATTATTTACTCGAAACAATAAATTTTATAAAGAAAATTCCCCAATAAACATTGCGCCTAATCGAATTATTAAATTGAATTACAAATGACAAACCGAGGAAATCTCCCATCACTGATATGCAAAAATCCCACGGGCGAGAGTCACTTAGAAAATCCTGCGCGGTTTGATTATAAAAGTCTCAACCAAAGGAGGCCGAATGAAAACATCTTGAAGACGCCTCGTTTGAGATTCATTATCATTCAAGATAAAGCCAAGAAATGCATTTAGAAGCTGAAAAGCTTTCACAATTTCAAAGACGTGCGCATGCAGCTTTATTTACTATGCTCGAGTTAATGGCCGTTTTTATACTAAAAACGTATTATCCGTTTGGACGAACTTGGGCAAACATTTGTTCGTCTGGTTATGCGTCTCTAGTGTAAAGACGGGCACGAGGACGTATTATGCGTCTAGACGAACTATCTCTCCTAGTTCGTCTTTCAAGACGAATTTCGAAGTATAGTTCTTCTAGATGCATAATACGTCTCGTGCCCGTCTTTATACTAGAGACGCATAACCAGACGAGCTGCTAATGTTTGCCCAAGTTCGTCCAGACGGATAATGCGTCTTTAGTATAAAAACGGCGAGGACGCATTATCCTTCTGGACGGAGGATGCGTGCTCTAGNTCGTCTGGTTATGCGTCTCTAGTATAAAGACGGGCACGAGACGTATTATGCGTCTAGACGAACTATCTCTCCTACTTCGTCTTTCAAGACGAATTTCGAAGTATAGTTCTTCTAGACGCGTAATACGTCTTGTGCCCGTCCTTATACTAGAGACGTATAACCAGACGAGCTGCTAATGTTTTCCCAAGTTCGTCCAGACGGATAATGCGTCTTTAGTACAAAAACGGCGACGACGCATTATCCTTCTGGACGGATGATTCGTCCTCTAGTGTAAAAACGGCTAATTACTCGACGTTGAATATTTCATTTACCGAAGGCTTTGCAGTGATGTTATCGGCCTTCGCTTTACCAGTCCTTAACTAAAGTCGAATCCAATTCGAAGCAATACTGTATGTTACAATTTTGTTTTCTCTTGTCTCAAAAGCTGTATTAAATCGGCGATCTGTATTCCAAACACAGGCGAACGCGCATGTCTTTGCGGCCGTTGTTATGAACCAAAACCACACCTTGACTCATTGACACCTGGAGATTTTTGGCAAAAACCTATTTTTAACCCGGAGATTGCATAAGCAATCTAAATGATGCAGATTATGCAAATGATATGCAAATGATGTCCTTCCATAATCTGTTAACGTTTTGGAATAATTCCGCTGACCAGTAGACAAAGCTCCTTAAATCACTGTATTCGTCAATATTGCGGGCACGTGTATCGTTTTACATTACTAGGTCTAGCTGCGATTGTTGCACTAAAAATGGAAACTTGTCTTGTTTGCTTTCTGGGTATAGTTCATTATACCCAGAAAATCTAATCTTAGATTAACAGTTAATTCTAAATAAGTCCAAATGTTGTCTTTTGTAATACGCAATGGGAACGTTTTAGGTGGCAGAGGTGAAGTTGCTGGAAGCTGCTATTGTAAATTTCCGGTTCGAAGTTTGAAGTTTAGGAAAGATTTACAAGAAGAAATCCGCTCTACATATTGATGGTACTACTACTGGATGGTTGAGCTCCTGCAATTAAATTTCGGAAATCAAAGCCAGCAATTCCGTTCAGGCCACCGTAGCATTTGTCGAAAAAGTCTCTAATAAGGAACACCGCGGTCTTGCGAGCCTCTAGAAGGCTCGTGATTACGCCAGATTATAAGTTTCAACCACGGGCGTGGAATCCACTGTGAGAAAATCCTGCTCAGCCTTGAGGACAAACTCACATAAGTCGCATTGGAAGAGGAATCCCGCATAGCAGGAGCGAGGAGATTTAGATAGAACTTCACGAACTGAAATGCAATCCGAACATTAAAATTTTGCCCAAAGACAAAAATTTTGGGGCTTGTTCAAGCTGATACTCTTTGACACTTAAATAGGCTGACGAGTTATCACATCGCAAAGTCACACAACAGTTCTCGCGAAAAGCTTTATATGTCTATTTGTGGTAGATTTAATCATCGCAACACGATCGCATTTGCACAGTTTGGCTTTGAGGTCATTTGAATTAACAAAAAATTGATTCGCGCTACAACTGTACTGCGAATTTAACTGGAAAATAGGACAAACAGGACTCCTCTGTTCCCTGTGTACTAGCCACACTAAAACTAGTTTGAAGTTTAAGAGACTATCAGTCGCATATTTGTTAGCTATAATTCGCATATTTGCTGGTCAATTTGAGATAAGGCTGAAGTACTTTGTATCTTTCCCCCTTGAAGCAAGGTTTCTTACGTGTTACTATGGTTAGCACCCACATTCCAATATAGTGGACCAGAGTTAGATTCCGGGAATTGTCGGCTTTTTTTTCCGTTTGTTTTTTTAAGGCACTGGTGTTTTTCTTTTATTGTTCAACCCTTTTTTTGGTGAAGGATATCCACAAGTGGCCACATGTACTTATTTCAAGCTTGGAACCAATAAGAACACGGTTTTTGATGTTACGCGACCTTGCTGTTTCGCATAAATCGACCTCAAATTGCATCCGATGGTTTAGATGTTGTGCGTTTGTAATTCGTGATAAAAAAAAACACTCGATTTCCCTGAAGTTCTTTCGCAGCTACACTGCGAGCAGAGACGCTTCGATCTTATTCCCAACCTATTCGCCTTCGATCTAAACGGCGCTGAGTTGCGTAAAGCAGACTACGCTTTCGTCTTCAGGCGGGATGAAAAGTATGTTGGGAAAGGCGACGAGAGGTTTACAAGGTAGAGTGGCTCAATCAAGAAGGAGTAAATCCGTTGGAGCAATGCAGCTCGTGTAGTGGTTTGCCAGTTCTTGTACTCCATGTAGTATAGACGAAAAGTTATTCTTTTTTAAAACAAAAAAAAGTTGTTACTACTGTTATAACAAGTATAGCCAGAAGTCAATATGGTAATTCGTATAACTAGAATAACCCGTAAGCCACACATGTCAAACACCATCCATTGGGAAATCGACGGGTTTGCTCATAAAGCACTTTGATTTTTTTACACACTTTTGACATTTTTAGCATGAATATGAGCTAATTGACATTTTTGCTCGGGCATGCGCGCAAATCAAAATTTTAGTTGAATGAAATACTCGTGAAATTGCACGACAATGGACCCGTACGCAGTTCGCTCACTCCTCGGATGGTACGTCAATGGTCCCCCTCTATACTTCGCAACAGAGTGGCAACATTACTTACGTTGGCGAGTAACTAACGACCCCTCGAGGATATGTAGTCTCGCAGAGAATGGTGAAGGAGTAGATAACCCCACAGGCAGTGAGACAGATGTTCGAGTTGGACTTCTCTGAACGAGAAAAGGGGACAGCAACGTCTCGTGAAGATACCAAGTTCTGTGAAACGGTGAAGAGTGGTATCGTTCATTTTGAAGACCTGCATTATGAGATGCCCATCCCGTTTAAGTATCACAACATTCAGCTTCCTAACAACTATGCACAAGCAGAGAAGCGTCTGACTGGCCTAAAAAAGCGTTTGAAGGCCGAGGACAGATGTTATGCGGATTGCTGCAGTTTTATATCTGACATCATCTCCAAAGGATATCATTGCTCGCAAGGTGGATGAGGAGTTCATAGATGAAGTTGGAAGAACCTGGTACCTACCTCACCATGATATCTATCACCAGCAAAAGTCGAAAATACGAGTGCTGATCGATTGTTCGGCCACATTTGAAGGACACTCCTTGAATGACAAACTTCTTCAGGGACCAGATCTTACTAGTAACGTACTCGGCGTCCTTACCAGATTCCGGCAGGAGCAGCACGCCTTTATGGCGGACATGGAGAAGATGTTCTTTCAAGGGAGAGTTAGAAAGGAAGATCAAAGTTTCCTCAGATTTTTGTGGTGGCCAAATGGAGACTTGGAGCAG